ATATATATATATATATATATAAACATAAGGAAACTAGATGTAAACTTTAAACAGTGATTTGGAAAGGAGGATTAGAAAACTGTTATTAAATATTATGGATGTCTAGCTAGAATAGGACATAAGGATTTAGTGTTAGTGGAGGATTTTAGAAATAGTAATTGAAAGGTCAGTATGTGGTTATGTATTTAACTTTGGTATATTTTATGATGAAGGTCATTTAAACAATTATAGTCAAATGAAAATGGAGATATGATGGTGACATGTATAAATATTTGAGATAAAATACAAGTTAATATGAACTGTGTTTGTTGACTGTGGAAAAGATGCACGGAAGTTTTTTTTGTAACCAACTGATACACTTTCTATATAGCATGTAAAGAAGGATGTATTTCTTTTAAATTAAAAATTAAAAAATATATTAAAAAAAGAAATTACGGTATATAGGTTTTTATTGATTGTAAATTAATTCTGTAATTTTAAACATTTATTCAATTGGCAAGGTTGACACATTTAAGTTTCTAAATCTTTTCCCCCTGGGTGTTGATATCTGTATCAATAAGCAATTATTACTGCTTGCTTATTAATACTGGCTTAGCATATCTTACATCTGCAATAATTTCAGAGCAGACTTTTCAAATAACAATACTCAATGTTTATAACATTGGAATTGTGTATTGGAAATGCTTCACACATTCTATCTCATTATCAATATAAGATTATAACCATGCTGTAATATCTTATCTTTAATTAGTTTCCACTACATACAAGGAGCTTTTTTGGATTTAGTATAACCGTATCAGTTGTGTAAAAATGTTGAGTTGTCTAGGAACACATAAATCAGATTTCTCTGACATGAAATTTGTGGAAATCTAGTCCAAACTATCTGGATAGTACCAGACTGGGGAAAACAAAACTGAAGGGTTTAGAAAAATAACCTTGTTTTTAATATCCTAGAGCTCAAGGCATTAATCCCTGTGCTACAATTATTTGTACCGGATGAAAATGTGGGGAAAAAACATATTCAATCATCTGAGATTCAATCATCTCAAACTCCTTTTATGATTTGAAGTGGGAATAGTCAAGATTTAGGTTCAGTGAGTTAGAAGAGGCTATATGAATTGCCAGCCAACTTTTATAGCTGAGTGGTAGTAGAATTCTCATATCTTTGTGGAATTTTCTAAGTGGAAATGAGTGGAGTGTTGACTTACAGAATTTAATTATGTACCTTGCTGTACAGTACGTGAAGTGGAGACCAATGGGATATTTATGGGTTTATATGTATGTCACAAGCATAATCCACTATTTATAAAGCATTATCATCTAAGCTCACTTCAGAAACTTGCTTCAATATAACTGAGCAAGTGGCAGAGAGAAACAGTTTTTGTTCCCTTCAGTATAAATCTATGGGCCATCCTCTGAGAATAGCAGTATGAATGTGGTATGGTATCATCATAACAATTTGCGAACAATGCAACCACACACCTACACAATTCCACTCCTGACCCCAGAAACCAGTGAAAACAGAATTTTCATCTCTAAAGACTCAAAATATTAGTTGGCATTGATGAAAAAAAGAACCTATCAAACTTAAACTGTGCTCATCTGTAGAAGGAAGCAATAAAACAATGCCTGTAAAAAAGCTGACCATCAGGGACAAGGATTCTAATGGATTATATGGTGCTGTTGGAACAAGTTAAGAATACTTCAAAAAAAATGGACCAAACCCTTAAGTTATCCTAATCCTAAAAAAACAGCATCTAAAACCTGTACGATTATTTCATTATCTATCTAGATCTCATTTCCTCCTGTAATAACATTCAATTAGTCTGTAGTGTTCCAAATTTGGCTCCTGTATTTTTTAAAGTACAGTTGAACTTTAAAATGTATGCATCCAAGATATGAAAAGCAGAGTTGTTTATAAACATCATTTTGGGCATTAATATTCACTTGTGATACAATTACTATGTCAACTACCACAGATCAACAGATCTCTCTACAATTTCCTTCAAAAGCACACTGTTGGGATACTGTAGTTTACAATACTTTCATTATAGCAACATAGGGAAGCCTAGTAGTTCCATAGGAAGGGAGGAAACCGGTGGACCCAGGAAGCATTCAACATATTGTAAAAGAAATAAACAATTTTCCACACTAAGGGGAGAATACAGCTATATGGCACCAAGCATACATCTTGCCATAAGTAAGTTGGATTTCAAGTTTCATCCTCAGTGATATTCCAAAAGAAGTCTCTACGAAGTTTTTTAACCATAAAAATATGGTAGCCATATTGCTTTGTTCCTGCACTTGCTCAAATCAATTTCCTGTAGCAAAGTTATCAACTGTAGTTCAAGAGAGACATACATGCGTCCTGTTTGATAATTGCCAGTCACCTTCATTTTCTCCAAAAAGAGGAATTGTTAATTACTGTATGCTCTTTTAACACTACGTTTTTTCTATAAAATACATATCATACATTCCAATAATAGTTATGGGTAGCCTTATTTTTAAGCAATTTAAAAATTTATTGAAAGTTTTCCGAACAAAAAAAAGATACAAAAACAAGTCAGAGAAAACAAATCTACATGCTGCTACTTATAAATAAATTCATAAACAGTTGCATCAAAACTTTCCTGCAAATTCAAACATAAATAGGTACATGTCTAGGATTTAAAATACCGTTGGCACACATCTTGACATAATCACTGTGAATTTCTTATTTGAAGCTACTAAATGCAGAATCATACAAGAAAAAATTGGTAGCACGACTTTTTTTTTTGCATTCCTATTTTAATTTATTGAGCATCCAGGAAGGTATGACTAAGTGATAAGTAAGAATACACTAAGCCAAGAGTTTGTTCCACACAGAATTCTTCCTAAGATATCAAGAAAAACCAAAAATGGCTGCAAATGCTTTTTAGAAACATCCACTTAAATGATTTTACCTGCAAATAAATTTTATTTAGAATTGGATTGTTCATGCTTGACCAATATAATAGTTATCATATGGAAATATTGCAAAATATTTACTTGCAGAGGGAGGGAGAGAAAAAGAGAGGAGTCCTGTATCAAACAGATACCTTAATGATGGGTTTCCAGTTCAAGAATTGTCCACTCCCCATGTGGGGAAGAACAATCTTCTGAAGAAAAACTTGCCACGGTGATACTTGCTGAAGAATCATCCAGTGGAGATATTAATTCAGTCCACTTACTGAAAGTGTCAAACTGTGCTTTACCCTGAGGTTGTGAAGTGTCTCGCGCCAGAAATAGTGTTTGGTTGATGAGATACTGTGCTAAGTTAAGGTCTTCGGGAACAGAATTTTTGATGTCCAAGTTTGATTCCTGGTCAGATAGCAATTGCCTGAGAAGAGTCCAGTCCTGTTCGGCAAACTGGTGGTCTTCAAAATCCATATCTAGAAAATTCACTTCAGACTCCATGCTCTGCTCAAAAGCTTCTCCAACATCCATCTCGTATATTGGAGAAAGGGTTTTTGGAAGCCGATGCTCATACATGCAGGTTTGTGTCAATCTGTCACAATCATCTATGTCTCCTGAAATAATTCATAATACTACACATTGTAAAAATTGTACAAGTTTTCACTTTCTTTGTAGCGCTTCTGTACAGGTTACTTAATTCAGTGCAGGAGGACAATTACAAACCAATAAGAAATAAGAAGAAAATGTAATTGCATACAAAGTTCACAAAAGATTGTAACTTTTAAGTTACGTATTTTAAGAAAAGTTAATGAAACAAAATATGGCTTATACATAAAGTTACCATTGGCAATTAACAATATACTGTACCTTCAGAATTAGAAAAAATTCTAATACAGAAAGAGGTAAGTCGTGTAAACCAACATTTAATGCACATGGATTTCTAAACCACTGAAGCTGCAACTTAAAATAGGAAGAAGTAGAGTATAAAGAGGAAAGTGGAACAAAAGGAAAGGAGAAAGGAAAGAGAAGGAAGACATGTTCACCGAGAACAATGACTTCAGCCAAGTCATCTTCAAAGGTGACAAAAACAAATATTTCCCCTGCTCCCATAAGCTTATACTTAAAAGTAGTATACTGTACATGCAAAGGAGAGCTGCAAGCAAGAACAAGCAAGCAAACAAAAAGAAGAGTTACAACTTGGTCAATTTTATCATTCAGAACACAAATTGTTTTAAATGCTTTGATACACGGAAATGTAAAAAAAAAAAAACATTCAGGTGCACTTTGTGTATTGGGATATTGAGCTGAATTCCTGTTTCAAGAAACAGAAAAACTAGACAAGAAGTTAGCTAACTATATGAAGCAAGCGTAGTACATTTAGATATATTTGTTGGTTTCTAAAGCATAATCTTTCTCTTTCTTAAAAACTGTTCTCCTAGCTAGCATAATTTTAAGAATATCCTGAAAGTATTTCAGGTCGAAGACTAGTTTCCTCTGAAGTCCATGTTAAAACAACAGTACAAGACTAATCCCCAACTTTGTGCAAAACAGAAACTGTAGTAATCAATATATCTATTCAGCTTAACAATGCGGAACACTTTAAATTAACAAATTTATTGCACATCCCACTTTAATAGATTATATATATATATGTAAGTATATTTAGGAATCATAGTTTTTCAAACAAATGGATAGATGAGCTGCTAATGTCCTTTTGGAAAAAAAAATAGGCTCAAGAATAGAACCGCAGCCTGCTCTTTATTTTATCCAAGATCACATTACCAACTGCCCACCGGAACTGCAAGCTACAACATATTCTTGACTATTCAGAATATGAATTGTATAGGTGTCTGCATAAAATTCCCAAGGGATTTACTAGAATTGAAACTCAGTCCCAGCAATAAACTCTAATATTCCATTAACACTTAATATTTCAAGGAATTTAACTTTTTTTTATTTTTATTTCTGTACATTACCTGCAAGTAAAGCAGTGTCAGTGTATTCAGGGGATGCTGACTCTTTCATGGTATCTTCCTGAGCCAGGAAGTGAGTCTTATAAGGATCAACAGGTTTTGTAGAGCTGTTCTGTAAGTCAGTATTATCACGTTGATGAAGATCCAAGTGACAAGGTCTTCCTTGGGTTTTGGTATCATTGTCTAAAAGTTTATTGCACTGAAAGCCATTACTTCCTTCACACTTGACTTCTGCGGAAAGTTGGCCGTCCCCTATTTTCTCAGCTCTCTCCATGCACGTTTGCTCTGTAACCGAAGTAACTAGAGTATCTTTTAGTGTTTGATCACTGTCCTGAGGATCTACAAAGGGCTTTTCATTTTTGTCATCCCCCTTGCAATCCAGGAACCCATCCTCAATGTCCAGTGAGTATCTTGAATAGAACGTTTTGCTGTGAGGCTCGTGGGAAACGCTGTCAAACACATCAGAAGGCGTTGCCGCATCCAGAGTACATTGCAGAGGAGTATGAACCTCTACGCCATCATCAGATCCCAGTTCTTCACATTCATCCACTGACAGTAATACGGAGCGCTTAAAATTTTTAGTGGCAGAGAATTCTTGACTTTCAATATCATTTTCCGTCGCATCATCAAATGCTAGGTTCACTATCCCATGGAACTGCTGAACAGGAACTTCCGGTGGAGGCATTTTCTCCGCAGCATTTTCATTTTCAGACTTTTCCTCCTCGGTCTCATCCGCCGAAGAGGAGACCTGATCAGCTTCTTGAGGAAATTGTGTGGTGGCAAAATTAGTATTACCACCACTGGATCTACTTTGTCTTTCTCCACCCTGACGCAACCATGTTGTTTCAGGCTTTTTTCTAGGGATTTCCTCATCACTTGTTGATATTACCCGAAAGAGTTCAGAGTTATCTTTTTTCATTTTTACTTCTATTCTTAGGCTTGTATCATACATTTTTAGTTCTTCGGGTGTACTTGTATCACTACTGCTTCTGCCAAGGAAATCATGGCATAGCATGGTGCTGCATTTTGAAATTCCCCTTTCATTTGATCCCTCATCATCCTGAGATCCTCCTGCGTCATAATCTTCGGATCTTGGCTTTATATCGTCCGATGATGTTGTTGCACTGCCAGTATCTGATTCAGGACTTTCTTTTGGATCAAGTCTGCTGGAACTTATATTCCATTGATCGGTAAAAGGAGCTTCTGAATTTTCATGACTTTCTGGAGTTTCTGTAGTGTCCGTATCTTTAGACGAGCATTTTTCTGCCGCTTGCTCTACGTAAGATTTTGAAGCAGGCTCTGATTCCACTGTAGCCAACTGCGAATCAGTCAAGGCAGACTTATCAGACAGTTCATCAGCACTTTCAGAATCTATCAAAAAGGTTTTTAAAGTAGAGGATTTTTTCTCTTCCTGTTCAGAGTTTGAACCATCGGATGAGCCATTCACCTGGCTAATATCCTTTTCGGCTTCCAAGGTATCAAAAGAGACAACTGATTTTCCTTGTACCAAATGGCTCTCATTTTTCCTTAAAGTTTCTAAGGAATTCTGGCAAGCAACAGACTCCGGAAGTGTTTTGCATTTTTCCATTTCATTTAAAGTCAAATGTGTAGCATTTTGGTTAATGTTTCCACGTGCAACACTCTCCCGACATTGAATAGGATGCAATTCAAGGGTACATTGCTCCATCTTTTTATTTATGGGAGATTTATCATCCTCATTTTTATGAATTTGTTTGGCTGCCTCATCATGCTTCATTGACATGTTCCGCTCTGACATGCAAGAAGATCCCAAATCTCTCTTGCAGGCCATTTCTTCAAGGGGAATATTTTCTCCCAAAATAGGTGTATTCTGCCTTTGTAATTCAGGTAAAGATGTTTCACTATCATTTTTGTCCTCTGGATTGAATTTAGGATCGCCACATGGTTGATCTTCCAAACTAGGGTGTTCAAGTTTAAGATCTGAATTCTTTTGCTCTTCTCCATGTATGTTCTTTGGAAGTAATGATTCACTTCTGGGAGGTTTCTGGCCTGATGGAAGTTTTAGAACACTAACTGTTTTCTGTTTTTGTTCCTTATTGTTTGTCATTTCAGTTTTCTTTGAATGAGTTTGGGTTTTGGTGGTTACTATTTTTGCAGTAGATTTAACTGAGGTTGCTTGTGAAGATTTAGCTTTTTTCTTCAGGGAAGTTAATGTCATATCTTGTGTCATACCATTCTCTTCATTCTGTTTTGGAGAAAGAGCAGCCTTAAGTGGATTTGACAAATCTCCCTGTAGACCTAAAAAGGCAACATATTAGACTTATGTTACATTCCATTCATCAAAGTTTATTATTAAGACAACCCCATATATCAAAAGAACCAAGAAATTATCAGCTGGCAAAAACAGTAATATTTTATGTTCCTCCTTCAAAAAGGGGGAAAAGAGACAAAGTCAAGGAAAAAACAGCTTGTTCAAACAGACAAAGCAAATCAATATTTCATATTCAAAAGAATTAGCAGGCACTGGGCCAAAATACAGGCATGATTAATAATTATCTTTTTTGAGGTATATATACATTCTGCTTTATAAATCCTAATATAAAGATTCCAGTTGAGAAGCCACCAGAGCTAAAAGCTATTGTTTCAATAGTTTCTTTTTATCAGTGAGTTTGTAAGAAAAAAGACGGAGAGGATGGATATGAGAAGGTAAAGTATGCCAGATGATGTCTATAGCAATGGGCTAAATCATCTCGCACCATGAGATGACCAGCAATGGCATTTTAGGGACTATGAAGAGTAGAATGCATTTAAGGCAGTAGGATATTGGGAGCAAACTCCTTGGGGATCCAAGAGAGAAAAAAATGGAATTTGCTTTGGCCCAGCATTTTGATGATTCCCAAATAATCTTGTAAGAAACCAAACCACTGAACAGATGTTTGAAATTAAATTAATAATTCAAGTAGTACAGTTGTCACATTAAAATTCCTTTTTTTTAAAAATATGTAAATATACATAATTATTTTTACATGAATAGGTTTTGTTACAATTTTCTCTTATTTATTGGTTGTGCACTTACCCTCCTATGTAGTGAAATGTACATTCTTACAGACTTGAGAATATACGACTATGACTGTATCCATAATTATTATGCTTTACTGCATAGAATGCAGTTGTCATGGAATCACATTGCTAATTTTTAAAAGAATATCCATTGTGCCACATATTCACAATCTCCCTAACTTTTTTAGTAGGTTCCAATACAACTGTGGCACGACAAAACCGCGGTCCACTAAAGCGCGCCCGATTAAAGCACGTATCTGACGTCGTCAGCAGCGTGACAAATATGACCGCGGAGAAAAAAGGGCGCTTTAAGCAGCGCTTTTAAAGCAAGCCGATTCACGTAAAGGTAAGGGTTAGGTTTAGGTTTAGGGTTAGGTTAAGGGTTAGGGTTAGGGTTACGTTAAGCGTTAGGGTTAGGTTTAGGGTTAGCGTTAGGTTTAGCGTTAGGTTAAGGGTTAGGGTTAGGTTAAGGGTTAGGCTTAGGGTTAGGTTTGGGGGGGTTAGGGTAAGGTTTTCGCGTTAATTTTAACTTTACCGCTCACAGCGTGATGTTTTCGTCGCACTGTGATGACGTCAGGTACGCGCTTTCGTCGAGCGCGCTTTTGTCTACTGCGGTTTTGTGGTGGAACCCAATACAACAGCCTGCTATCTTGGAATGGATCCCCTTAGTTCTTAACTAAGAAGTTTATGCACACAAAATATACATAACATTGTCCATTCAGTTGTTAGACCATTGTGAACAAAACTTCCAAAATAGAAAACATAGTCAAATCATAGTCAACTTAAATTTACCTTGATTTTTTGTAGCATTAGCTATATTCTTTGTCTTCTGCTGAGGTACAGAACTGCCAGCTTCATTTGCCCTTTTCTTCACAACTGCTTGTGGTATGTGTTCATTGTTGCCTTTCCCAGTACATTTCTTTGTAACACTGAAATTATCAGACACTTTGTTTTATTTGCAAGTTTAAAGACTGGGAAATTTTGGCCTTCTGATTATCGTCAAACTATAGTCCCCAACCAAATGGCTGACTAAATTTTGAGAGAGCTCAGCACCCTTTATATTTTAAAATTATAAACGAGAAAGGCATTCATAAATCTGCATTTAAAGAGAGGATCCATACAGCCATTGATTTTGTGCTCTGGCTATATGCAAAGAGAGTTGGAACGAGAGTTGGAGCTCTGGAACGAGCTCCCTGTTGAGATCCGGATCCTTACTACCCTCCCGGCCTTCCGCAAAGCCACCAAGTCCTGGCTGTTCCAGCAGGCTGGGGGGAGCTGAGAAGCATCTACCTCCATAGAAATTGTGAATGTTGGTTTTGTTTTTAATATGTTGTCTTTGTCTTGTTCCCCCCTTTTCCCTTGTCTTTTGTAAGCCGCCCGGAGTCCTCCGGGTGTGGGCGGCATACAAGACAAATAAATAATAATAATTATTATTATTATTATTTTTTTAGTTTAAACATGACTGAAACAGAAAATTTGGAATTAAACACATGTTTCTACTAGGTAAACTTGATGCGATTTATTTTCAGTAGGGATTTAAAAGCACATGAAAAACAAATAACGTACCTGTTCGTTGGACTATTAGCCTCAAGCTCATTAACGTGTTTTTTGGAAAGGGCTCCATTAGTTATCTTCGTACCAGATTTTGTTTTCAAAGCTACATAATAAATAATTAAAAAAAAGAATTCAGGAAGCAATGAGCATTTGCTAAAAGTGTATGTATGTAAGTGTGTGCGTGCGCGCAAAAGTATTTGCATGTGTACGTTCTTATTTATTTACTTAATAAACTGTCGTTCATGTCAAGATATGGGACTATGGAGGACCATATACATCTTGCATAAATGTGTATAAACAAGCTTTAAACCTTTTCTTATTCATGTTACAAACACTGATTATCCAAAAATCCTTCTAGCATTGAAGTTATTCCTATTTAATAATATCTAATAATGATTAAGATTTTTTTAAAATCCTCATATTATTCATTTGATTGATATACCAAGAAAAAATATTTTAACTCTAATCAAAAGTATGTTCATGCAGCTTCCAATCTGTCTGTATTTCCTAAGAGGCCATCTATATTTACCATTGCCATTTTTCTTTTTTACTTGTGAATTAAACATAAAAAATGCGATAATTACAACTTCTTCATAGAGCCATGATGGCGAACCTATGGCATGCGTACCACAGGTGGCACATGGAACCATTTGTTAGGGCAAGCAAGGCACTGCTCTGTCAGCTGGCCAGAGCGTATGCACGGACTGGCCAACTGACTTCACCCTTCTTTTGAGGCCGTTTTTCGCCCTCCATATACTTCCTTTAAGCCTCCGGAGCATGAAAAACCGGCCCTATCTGCAAACCGGAAGTTCAGGAACAGACTTCCGGTTTGGCCATAGGGCCATTTTCACCCTCCGGAGACTTCAGGGGCCTTCAGGAGGCTTTCCTGAAGGCTCTGGAAGTCGAAAATTGGCCCTATGGACAAACCGGAAGTCATCATTCCCGAACTTCTGGGTTCTCCGTAGGTCTGTTTTTTGCCCTCCAGAGCCTTCAGGGAAGGTCCTGAGGCCTCCGGAGGGCATCCGGGGTGGGGGGAGGCTGTTTTCACCCTCCACAGGCTCCTAGAAAGCCTCTGGAGCCTGGGGAGGGCAAAAAACCCGTGCCAAATGCGGTGGGGGCAGGGTGTTTGCTGGTCGTGTGGGCATGAGCGTTGTGTGTGTGTCCCTCACATAGCATTACGGGTATGGCATGCCCGCACATAACCCCTCTGTGCTCCCCCCACTTTTGGCACAGGAGCCAAAAAGGTTTCACCATCACTGTCATAGAGGAATAAGAAAAGAAAATAATTTCAGCGTAGCACTGCAGCAAATTAAAAGGGACTCTACCTGATTGCTTTTTGCTCTCATCTCCTTTTTCCTCTTTGGAGTCATCTTTATCAATGGACATCCGCAGATCTGGACTTGAACTGTTTGATTTGCTTAGAGTATCTGTGCTCACGAGAGAAGGAGATTCCTTTCCAACTGATTTCTTCACAGGTTTTGCTTTAATTTGTACATTTGAGATTCCTGCAAATACTTTGGGGCGGGCACCTGTCGTTTTACCTTCTTGGTTTTTTGACATTTTGCTGCTTCCTGCATTTTTGTGCCCGCTAGAAGGTAAGGGCCGGTCAGAATCTTGTTTGGCCAACAGTGTTTCATTCTTAGCATTTCCATTATTTTCAACTTTGGGCTTTATAACAGCTCTAGCCTTTGGTGAAGGCATTTTCTCTCCTATTTTGGATTCCTTCATCAGCTTACAAACTGCTTTTTTGCTGTCTTTCCCCTTTAAGTCATCATGCTTCAAAGCTTTATTATTGCTATTCCGATTGGTAGCTGAGGTCTGTCCAGATGCTCCTAATGCATCAGATTTCATTTTATCCTGATTAGCAGAGGGATCACCACAAGGGTTTTCCTTTTTACTTGCTTCCCAAGCAGTCTGTTTTAGAGCACAAGAACCACCAAAGCATCGGCTTAACTGAAGGAGAAGGGAGGAGAAAAATATAATAAATGATCCAAAGTCTGTGAGGATCACTGTTACTTGCCATAAAAAAACCATTTACACATTTCAGCATGAATCATAATCACGGTATATTCTTATTTTTTGAAAAATTCTGTATTGCTTTAATATGCAATGAATTATTTTGCAAAAATTTACAATACAGGGCGGGGCATAACCTTTTCCTAGGGGGTCACAGCAACACTTGTAATAACAACACAAATAATTCATACACCATTCGAAAGCCCATCAAAAACTGAGTTTATTGACACGATTTAATAGTCAGTATGACCACCATTAGCCCTTCAAACAGCATTCAAACGAGGTGGATAAGAACACAACAAATCTTCAAACAGTTCCGTTCGATTTTCCAGATTTTTCAACACAGTTTCCAAATTCATTCTCAAAGTTTCAACCGAATATCGACACCTCATTTTAAAGCCCATAAAAAACTGAATTGAATGAGCTATTAAATGTTAAATTTGTTTCGGTTGAAACTTTGAGAATGAATTTGGAAACTGTGTTGAAAAATCTGGAAAATCGAACGGAACTGTTTGAAGATTTGTTGTGTTCTTATCCACCTCGTTTGAATGCTGTTTGAAGGGCTAATGGTGGTCATACTGACTATTAAATCGTGTCAATAAACTCAGTTTTTGATGGGCTTTCGAATGGTGTATGAATTATTTGTGTTGTTATTACAAGTGTTGCTGTGACCCCCTAGGAAAAGGTTATGCCCCACCCTGTATATAATACTATATATTATAACGTATGTATAAAAATTCATTCAGCCCTATTTTAAAATAAACGTTGACTACAAGAACACAACTAATCAGTCTTTCCACTAGAGTTCTCAGTAGAGAACTGGTTCATAAACGGAAAGTAAATCCATATCAAGAATTCTGTATTTAAATCTGGAGTCTCTTTTCAATGTTGAAACGTATTTCTCTTCTTCTGTCTCCTATGTTCAAAAGGAAGAACATGAGGTCCTCTGGATGCTGTTGAATTACATATTCCAGCAGTTCCAGTTAGCCTGGCTAATGATTACGCGAGATGCTGTTCAAACTCATTTGGAAGACACAAATTCACCATCCCTGTTAGAAGAAACTATACAATAATTCCATGTCTAAAATGCAAAAGACTATTCAAGGGATACTAATGCACTATCAAGATGAATGTTTTTGAAAGGAACAGGTGGAATCCCCCCCTCCACAAAATAAAGCACCAGGTTTAGGTCACCCTCATTTACCAAATATTACTGTTCTAAGTTAAATGATTAACAAATGTAATCAACTACATAGCTCGGTATATTTTCCCCTCTCTCTTCATGCATATATTGAGTTCGATTCCCTTGCAAGAATATCTCTCAAAAGATGGATGACATCACAGGTAAGTAATGGCATGAATGAAGGGAATAAGCTCCATTTGCTAGCTATCATACCATTTACTCTGCAACTGAGAGTACTGCTGAGAGTTACTCAGCAGTAGTCTGGAGATGCAGCAAGAGAGTATGCAATAAATTTCTGCTATCTGATATATTGTGAGGTTGAATCTCAACATGATGCAATGAAATATTTCTCTGAGCATGGAAGTCAATAGATAGATATTTGCTTGTTAAAGTTACACAATAATTATATCCGCCTCAAAGCCATGTTCAACTTCCCAAATAATCACACATCATGTTTGAAAATCATATACAAATGTTTACGTACAGAAATGTGAATATCTTGTAAAATGTGAGGGTTTTTTTTTACCTGAGAACTACTGAATATGGGCTTATTAGTAGGTCTTCTGTCATCTCCTTTGTCAACAGCAGCTGCATAAGAAAAGGACATCTTTTTTTAAGGATATATTTAGAGAAAAGTGATGGAGGAAACCAAAGCTTTAAGAATTTTCTTCTTCAGCAGAAGAAGGACACATACACTTTTTAAAGTGCAAATTAATAAGAAACAAGTCATTCCAAACCTGGAGATTACAACAATGGGAATAATAAACACCACCAAATGCCTGCCCTAGGTTCTTGGGAATGACTTAATGGGTAGATAAAAATGTCAAATCCAATTTAAATATCTGGCCGGTTGTACGACAAACAATAATGGATAATTATAAGTTTATAAGAAAGAAAAAATCCTAGTTAGTGGACATCGAAGTGCATGGAAACAGCAGAATAGAAGAGAAAGAACGGGAGAAAATCACAAAATAGAAAAATAATGACAAATTAGAAGTAGAACAACTAGTAAAATAAAACAAAGAGAAGAGTATCAATAGTAGTAGGAGCCTTGGGTGCTATTGCAAAACATCTGGAACATCACTTGAACACCATCAACATTGACAAAATCATCATCAGTCAATTGCAAAAGGCAGCTTTACTTGGAACAACTTATATCCTGCAATAATACTGCTAAAACCATCAAATAAATTCTGCCTATCCCAAGGTTTTGGGGAGGATTGAACAGGTGGATAAAAATGCCAGTCTAAACATTTGGCTTATTGTGCAACCAACCACAATAATCATTGTTTTGATTTATACATCTTTAAATAATGTACACCCCTGCTCTTTCCACATACAAAGTTTATTGCATGTTGCCAACTTATCTCATGTTTTTAATTTAAAAAAAGAAGGCTTTCCTCTTATATTGATACAGTAATATGCAATAAAATTATCTATGCTTTTAAGCATAACTGAAAATGAAATACTGTTAGTAAGCAAGTCCAGTCTTCAGACAGTCAGTATATGAAATTTTCAGATGGAAATTGATTGAAACTCTCTGAGAAGGCACCCAAAATCAGAACTGATCAGAACTGATGAAGCTTCTTGGATGAGAAGTGAAACGTTTTCTTCTTTCTCAAAGAAGAAGTCCAGTTGCCTTTTCAACAAAAAAAGGCACCTTTAAGACAACCATGACCTGGATGACCTGTGAGAATCTCCACAGATATTACACAAATTAAATTTCTGCAATGCAACAGCTTACATAACCTATACTAGAAAAATGCAGACTGAGGAATATACTGTATATATAACATCCTTTGCCAAAATCCTATTTTTATCTATCCCAAAGAATTCTACAAAGCATACAGTTCTACCAACCTATTTATCGTTGCCTGCAACTATTATTTATATATTTTATGAATATAAAACCTGTAAGAGTCAGCTGCATTCCCACCCTGCAGCGAACCTCTGATTTCCTAAGGGATGGCATGAGGCTGAAAATGGCACCTGGGTGGCTTTTTTATTTTCTTAAGGGAATAAGAGTGTATGTTGCATATGCTGCATGAAATATAAATTAAAAAACATGTTCCAGTGGGAACCAATACCATGCACCAAGTAGTGTTGGAGGCAGCATTTAAGCTTCCTAGTCTAATCTTTTTTAATGTATGGGCACTGAAAAGGAATCTGAAGTAATCCCTAAATGGTGTATTTTTAAATTGCATGCTTCTTTAAAAGTTTATGTACCCATTCAAATAGCTCACATAGAAAAATAGGTCCTGCTCTGATTGTACAAAACAGGCATGCAATTACACAAAATGGAATATTTTTTTAAAAATCTCTCTGGATATTGTAATCAACCTGCAGTAATTAATGCTGTAGACTTTTTCAAGCAAAAAATCATCTGGATAGTTATCACAGCTGCAGTTTGGGTTTCCCAAATTTATCACAATATACTCTAATTAATCATATCAAGGAAAGATAGGAATTCTGGTCAAAATATATGCATGGGTTTATATGTATATATTAGAAAGCTTTATTTAGAATGACATCATCTAACAACCCAATAAAATTGTATTTTTGGACATGATTGATCTGACTTCGATTTCCAGAAAGAAAGAAAAAAAGCTTAATATACAAAGCTCGTAAATAACACTTTACAATGCAGGATATTGTGATAAGAATCACACCAAAAATTATTCATTTATATTACATGGCCATTTTATGTTTTTCTATGGAAATTCTTTACAGTAAGCTATAATCCTTTCACCATACTAAAGAAATTACGTGACAACAGCAAAAATATTCAGGGATGCCCTGAAGCCATTTTCAATTATTTCATCTGCAAGATTTTATTCTATACATTTGAAAACAAAGGAGTCGAGGGGGGGGGAATGAAGGGGGTAGCAGAGAAAAGTGGGGAGGAGAGCAGAACAAGACTTCTTTTGTTTAGCTTCAAATTGTGCTGCTTAAATGTTTAAAGGCCACTCTGCAGCTTCTTTGATGAATCTTCCACAGCAGTCAGACAGAATCATATCATCATATCAATCACGAATTCAAGGGACCCTTCATTTTCGACACAAATGAGATCGGCTGCTAAGCAAGGCATAGAACACACATTAACACACACACACACCCAACTACCCCAATCATGAAATAAATGTATAAAATTCTATCATTCCTACGTACTTAACCATCCTAATGAATTACTTTTAATCATTCTAAAGGCAAAGAAAAAGACAGCCTACCTATTTATAAGGCTTCCGTATAGCTGCATAATAACGTTCGTTCACAATAGGGAGGTGCAACCAGCTCGGCTTCCATACTTGAAGCGGTCTGTTTATTTTAATTGTTTATTTTTCACAATTCTTACATAATAATCGGGAAGCAGAAGGCTCATCAACAATTCCAGTTAACATTAATTACCAGCTCCGTATACCAGCTTCTCTATAATAAAGGCTCAGCTGTCATGCAAAGCCCTCAGCTCCAGCGATAGCTTGCCTACCTGCTTGTATTCGCTCCTGATCGGCTGCCTTAAGCAGTTTCCAGCCCTCTGTATGTCGAACGGCAAAAAATGACTGGAGCAGAAAGACCCACAGTTTATCACGCAGAGCCTGGATCCTGCACAGAAACCCCTATGAAAAAAAAATCAGCAGCTGGGAAAAAACCTTATTGTCATAGCAACCAGTCATTATTTCCTATAGAAGGTACTTGCTCCTTCAACTGGCTTAGATATTAATTGCTTAGCAATCATTTAGATATTACGATTGCTGAACAGATGTTGAGCTTTGCAGAGGCCAATTGTCCTGCATCATAATTTTGCTCCGCTTGAAGCCAAGCCACTCCCACAGATGCTGTAGCTCAAAAAAAAAAAAAAAAAAATCACACCTACCTACTACTCTCCCCACTCTTCCAATTTTACACACAAATCTCTTTATAGCTTTGTACCCTTGGCTTTGTCACTACAAGGTCAAATCCTCTAGGGCCCAATAAAGCATCTGGTTAAATTTTCACTCCTGCTAAATTAGTAAACAACAGAAGAAATCTGCAACAGTATGGAGAATTTATATGTGTATGTATATGTTTGTGTGTTTGTGTGTGTGTGTTTGTGTGTGTTTGTATGTATGTGTGTATGTATGTTTTAAAATATGCCACCTGTCCATTGGGTCCCTATTGCAAAAATATGGTAATTTAATAAAGGTAATGAAGTTTTGTAAATATATATATTTTTAGTAGAAAGCCCCTAAGAATCTTTGTTTCCACGGCTGAAAAATAATTATCACAAATATTCAGTTTCCAGAATATGAAACCAAGGGAATGAGCAATTGCCTGAATAATAATTCCTTATTTTTTATATTGCTGATTGCTATTCACAGATAGAAGCAGTGCTATCACTAGAATATAATTTAATAGAAAGAAAGGCTCCCACTGGCCTGATCAATGTTCTATTTAATTTGCTACTATCTCTCTGGACTGTGATCCTCAACTCTAATTTTAGAGAATATCCATTGAGTTATTGATGGCTCAAATCTTTCATCTCCCTCATTTTGAAGCTGCACTTTTACAGCATGTGCACATACATTTAAAGAGATTACAGCAGGGGGGGGGGGCAGGATGAAAACACCAATTCCTGTGATTTAGAGCGAATTAATCCCATTTTATTTTTTAAAAAAGCACATGAAGACAGATGTATAAGCAAGCCTGCTTAAATCCGAATGCAAGCGCTAATGATTTCAGCTATCTTCAGGACTAGTTTAGTTTAGTTTATTCTAGTTTATTGGGTTTGTACGCCGCCCACTCCCGGGGGACTCCGGGCGGCTTGCAATATTTAGGATGATTAGTTTAAGCAGCAAAACGTCTCTTGTCCTACAAATTCCAATTGTTAGGGGCAGCCAGATGATTGTTCATTGTACTTTAGTAATTAAAATAGGACTCGGAAGCACATCATTATTAGTTCTAACTTTTAATGCTTCTAAGAGTTTCAGGTCCTCAGTTTCCTTTTAAGGATCCCACCCTTATTTTTTCTCAATGTGGTAGCTCTTCCAAAAGCTAAAGAGGTCAGGCTAAAGAGAAACTGTAGTATTGTAAAGATGAAGCATGCAGGAACAAAGAGTGAAGAAGGTGAATTAAGAAAAGAGCAACGAATGAGGAGAACTAAAGGACTACAGAGAATGGGTGGACAGAACAATCTGGAATGTAAACCTAGCTCCTTAGTAGGGTTCCACCACAAATGCACGAACGACAAAAGCACGCCTGACTAAACCGCGGTGACAAAACTGCGGTGACAAAACCGCGCTGACGAATGAGCGCTGAAGCGCGCCAACAACAGCGCGGCGACAGAAGCGCGCTGTAACCTAACCCTAAAAATAACCCTAAACCTAACCCTAAACCTAACCCTAAACCTTACCTTAACTTAAATCGCGCTTCTGTCAGCGCGCTGTTATCAGCGCACTTTTGACGTTCGCGCTTTTGTCGGGTCATGCCTTAGTAGACCAATCCTCAACCCATGCTCTGGTTAAGGTGAAGGAGCACAAACACTGGCCCCTTATTGAATTCTTAACAGTGGCAAGTACTGAAGAGATCTACTGTTGGTAACTGGATGTGGGCCAGGAACTGGCAGCTATGTATGGCCTATTCACAGGCATTTCAGCCCCCCACCCCACCCCAGCACTCATCATGGAAGTACTTTTCTCTCAGGCACAAGAGTAAAGCAAAGCTTTCACAAGGGATCATCATCCACTATCACTAAAAAAAAAATGCTGTAGCAAGGATGTGGCAATAACACCAGCTCCCATCACTCAAATTTCAGTCCAAAGGAAGAGTACTGAAGTAACCCTCTGTGTCAGACCAGAAGACCAGTTAGAGAAAGCAGCTGGAAAAGGATTCTTACATGGGAAGTGTGAACTGTCTATCTTGCTAGAGGCTTTGGTGAGGACCATTTAGGATAGAAGAACTTGAAATATTACATACAAGGAAATAAAATATGAAACAATAAGAGAAGCAAATCTCAAGTAAGGAGTGTAGGATTAAAACAGTCATATATATAAAATGTAAGTAACAGAAGTCATATAAGATAGGTTAGAAGATGATACAGGAAGGCACTTAGGAAAAGTTATAGTATTATTAGGAAAAACATACGGCAAATACTTATAAAATTTTGAGGGACATGGGTGGTTTAGAAATGTGAAAGATAAAAACAAACAAACAGGCTTATTATTGTACAACTTCAATTTTGGATTCAAATCTTTATTTTGTACAGTTTTCCAATAAAGCCTTTCAACTTAAAAGAATTGCTTTGCCTCCTGACTGGTTCTGTTACCATCTCCTAAAATGGAGGTATTTCCATTTCCATTTCTACTTTATGATCTATGCTGATCTCCTAAAATGCCTTATTTTAAAGACAGTTATTGTGAATAGGCTAAGAGAGCGGGGAGCTCTTCTCCACAATGACTCCATGCCTCTGGTACTCATGTTTATCTGCAAGGTCTTTCATTGCAAACTTTAATCCTTAACGTTTTACAGAGTTGCAATGGTATTTGAATTTGATATTATTTAATTAGTTGTTTTAACGGCTAGCATTTTAGAGCTGTATCATTATTATTTTATATCATCTATTCATGCTGTAGATCACCTTGGTACAATTTCTGCCCTTAAAGTTTTGGCTTGAAAGGTTCTAATAATAAAAAAAAACCACCCTGAAATCAGTTTCTGTTAATTTTTAAAACCTACCATCTCGTTCACACTTGAAGAACTTAGCAAAGTGTCCACTGCTATAAGAAGGCAACAGCTATTTTCAACAGTAACCTCTTTTTTCACTGCTTCAAGCACTTGATCAAGAAGATCAGGTTTGCTGCTCATGGCCTGAGCCTGGAAGATAGGATCATAAAATCGAGATCAGCTGAAACCAAAACCGAACAACGCATTTTGATGGGTGAATCTAAAAAGAGGACACTTGTGGGACATGTGCTTGTCTCTATGTTCATGGATACTTTGTATGCTAGTTCTTCACACAAACACTAATATGCTAGAATATATGGACCAGCCTTAATCTATATACTTGTATCCAGGGGTGGGTTTCTCGCCCCGTTCCAACCGGTTCGGTTGGAACGGGGCCGGCGGCGTCCTCGT